TCACCGAAACCAACTTCCGACGCCTCTGCTTTGAAACGTGCTTGTAGGCTCGCGCCCCAAACATCTGCATGTGCCCCACATTGGGCTTCTTGTCGTAAAACGCCTCCCACGGGGTCCTCCCGTGTGCGCTCACTGGGGTCCGGTTCCAAGTGTAGTTGGCCGTCACCACGGAATCCGCCCACATCTCTTTGGGCAGCCCCAAGTCCTCGAGCATCGCTTGGACCTTCTCCTTTAACTGCGGATTGAGCCGTTCTGCCGACCCGTTCTTCTCGGCCGTGTAGGGGGCGGTCTTCTCGTGCACCGTCCCTTTGCCCCCGAACACGTCTTTGAGGGCTTTGTTGACGGACCCCTTCCCCCGATCCGTTAGCACCGACCTGAGCTTCTTCCTGGATTGCAACCCCAACCGGTTAATAACGTGCTCGGTCACCTTGGCCACCTCGTTCTCCTGCTTCAAGGGGACTACAACCGAGAGCTTGCTGTAGTCGTCCAAAAAGGTGGCGAATACCGGCTCCCCCGACTGAGGGGACCGGCATCGGCCCGCCGCAACGTCCATGTTGACCAGCTCGACGGGCTCCACGCTCACAGACTCCGACTCCGGGAAGGGGAGCCGCGTTTTGCTTCCCCATGAGGCACGGCTCACACACCGAGGTTTTGAGCGCCATGAACGCCCTTGGTTTCACGCCGACACCCTCAACGTGGTTGTCTTGCACCATCTTCGTCAAATTCACATACCCGAAGATCAATTCCCGAAATCAAGTTTGCCGCAACTTTCGGAACGTACATCACGTTTTGCAAGGTGACCAGACACTCTCCGATTGGTGTCGCGCACCGCAGCTTAATTGAGCCGCTCCCTCTGCCCACAAGGTTCCCTGTCTCCAAACGTGAACTCTGGGCCACTCCCCTCGAACATCTCGAGGATCTCAAAGCGACTCTTGTCCCCGGTTAGGTGCGGATAGCTACCCGAATCTACGAGCCACTTGTCAGCAGCTACCCCCTCAATCCCGCTAAAGGCCACTCACTTGAAAGGTTTCCCTCCCTTCCCGGCTTGTGTTTTCCGCCTATCCGGCTTGCTTTACCACCTTTTTGGTCTTGAGAAAGAGAGAAACGGAACGCAATCCCTAAATGGCCGACGGATACAAGATCCACACGGATAAGTTAGATGTGGAAAACTATTGAATGCGGAGTTTCCAAAATCGGGTTTCTTCTGACTTCTGAGGATCTAGTGAATGGGGTTGAGGATCTTGTAGCGCACCCAACTCAAAGAAAAGATCCTTAACGTTTGTCCATCATTGGACTAAACGTTAAGGATCACCATTTGGGGTCGATTGAGGAGTGCAAAACCGCAAAGGAGACGTGGGGTCTCCTTGAGAAGACCTACATGAGCAAGACCAATGCAAAGAGAATGCAGCTCAGGCAAGAGTTGCATTCCCTCAAGATTAAGTCGGGTGAGCCCGTGACTATGTATGCCTGTCGGGCAAAGGATTCGTTTAGGGACTTGACAGCTACTGGTTTTGTTTGCTGCTCTTCCGGGCAATGTGATCAAAACTCACCGCGGTTGTAGCACTTTTAGGCCCCTTGCCCCGGCTCTCATCTTTGCCGTGGCTCTTTTAGCGCCCTTCTAGCGCCCTCTCTTAGCGCCCTTTCCGCTGAGCTAGATAAGCCACAGCGGAGTCCGACCCACCACCGCCCTCTTCCTTGGGCAGCTTAATCCCCTGCTCATGCACCAAGAGCTTCGGCAGAATCGCATCCACCGAGCTCAAGGCGCCCTCCGAAGCCTCTAGAATTGTTCTCCGGGTACTAAACGAGCTCGGCAATCCCGCGAGCACCCTCCAAGCCAGCTCCTCCGGCTTCTTAGGCTTTCTCTGCCACTTGCTCCCCCTTGCGGGCGGTCAAATGTCGTTTAGCTCAAAGAGCATCCACGATAAAGCAGACCGCACTAGGGTTGCCTTCGTTGAGAAGAGAGAACCATTGGCCGACCTTGGCGCACAGATTCAATTTTCGCCCTTCCAGAGGCCTACTATTGAATGCTTGCGCCCTCACTCCCTGGGCGCCGTGGTGCGCCGTCGTGAGCCGTGGGCCCTTAACCTGTTGAACACGGGATTGTTGGGAATGAATGATCGAATGATCAAGTCACACAATAATTATCGAGGGTTCGGAGTCTATCGGCGCTAAAACTATGTAGTCCGTGTCCTATGCTAGTCTTAATCGACTAGAGTCACACTCCTAGTCTAGGTCCATACTGATAGCCTAGTAGGCTTAGTTGACCGTGCATACGCAAGTCCGAAAGCTTCGCGCAAACCCGAATATCTACGGCTATTATCGAACCGGCTAGTTACGTCGGCGGTTACCTCAATAAGTCATCCGGGTGTAATGTTGAATCACACGCTCATGCTTGGAGCCTACTAGGGATTCAACCACCCTCACACGCAAGTGCTTTCACAAAAGGAGCGCCCTTACTCTCACCAAGCATCTCTTAGTATGAATAGTTCAAATCAAGTGTAATCCCGTAGTTAGGTCTACCCAAACCTACTCCAAGTCTACCATCACCCTTGGATACGTGGATCCTATAATCCACGGCCTAGCTTCAATCAATCCAATTAACTATCATCGAACGGTCCACACAAGTTTGATCTAATCTCTTGCATCTACCTTTTCCCAGGTTCTCAATCTCCCAAGTCCTTCCAAATCTGCCGGTCTTAATTCGTCGACTAGTTGGGCTATTTGATCTTAATCTATTCAAGCACTCAATCCTTTTCATCTTAATCTGCCAAGACATCCATCTCGTTGATCTTAATCTTACAAGTGCCAATTATCCTTGCTTATAATTCCACCACTTTGGCCGTCAATCTATCTTTATCTCAACACCTTTACACGAACAAATTGTCCCACTCACATCTAGCCACTTCCACCCGCTCGCTTCTTAGACCTCGGTGTCACCCGACCCGTCCCCCTTCCTCAAAACTTTCCTGGGTGCCGCACATGCCCTTTCCGGATACCTTTTGGTCGCTCGTCACTGGCGTCTTCACCTTTCTCTTTCAACTTTGTCCAACTTCCTTAAATTTCGCGGAGAAAAGGTGGTGTAAAGGTTACACCTTTAGAGGAATCCGTAGACTACATGTCTCATTCCTGCTCCCTCTTGGGAGTTGCATGCATAATTTCATGTATATAATCGGAGACCTGCAGCTAGTGCACATGCATAGATTCAGACAGTATGCCCGTTTTGAATTCAGCCGGATCCGGCCATCCTACGGTGGAACTGGCTCGGGGTTTGACTCGCAACCGCAATGCGCGTTAATGACACAAGTCCGTATGACGCGCGAGCGCTTAGCTACTGGAGGATCCCCGCGATGGGCTCGGCAAGCTAGCGCCGTTACAATTCTCTCCCCTTAAGAGCGAATCTCGGAAGAGCTGCAAAAGGTACAATTCGAAGACTAAGAGGCGGGCCCGACGTTGAGTGAAGGTCGCGGCATTCTGTCGGACCCATTACTCAGCACCGGGCTTGCTGCTGTTCAACATGTACCACAGTGGTTGACGGCCGCAAACAAACTTATAAACACTGAAAACCGTCAGTGAACTATTTGTGGGCCTTATCGTACAGTGGATAGTGAGCGCCGCTCTCGTTCCCAATCCGCGCGACGCATCGAGCGACACAAATTTACCGTTGAAGTCAAAAGGATCATCGACGGCAAAACGTTGATCTTGCCGATTATCGAACTCTGCCGCATCGGTTAACATTGATCTCACGCTGCGTTCAACAAACTTTTGCAACGTCAGCGAAACATTATAGCCAATGTGCAACCCAATTACTAACTTTTGTTGCATACTGATTGCAGTGGACAACGTCAATATTCAAAAAAACTTGGTCTGCAACGTTAGCAGACTCGGATTGACAAAGGATTGGTGCGTTCGGATGACTGGTGAGCATACATACTACCCACCTTACCGGACGGTCAATCGATCCTTACAGTTTTCTTCAAAACAAACCTATGTCAAAACGTCAGCAAAAGGATCGTCACTCTCAGATGATTGCGTTGAGCATGCTACTCAGCTGCTTTGACAAATGAGCGATCCCTTGGGATTTGTACTTACTTACTTTGGGAAACCGCAAGCTGACACGAGCAAAAGAGAAAATGCGTGCTAATCGTTCGTGGTTATCTAGTAACTATAATCACTCAGGTACACATACTTTCCAAGTTGAAGAAAAGTGTAGATAACTTATATCTTGAGCCAGACCGGTCACTACGATCATGCAATCTTAACGAACGCACATGCTGTTGAGAAACGGAGTTGATTGACGGCCAAATTGTTGAGTTATAGAGTTAGGCTCGATAGATTTGAGCCGTAGACTCGTGAGTTTTGTCGTGTGATATCGACCGTCCGATTGCGTGTTGACTCGGATTTTGGATCGTTAGATGTGAGTCGACTCGAGTAGCATAGTAACCCGACCACTAGTAGTACGGTACTACCGACCACTAGTAGTATAGTGCCCCGGTCACAAGTCCGAGTGGAATATAGGCCGTATTGTGAGTAGTAGAGTGACCGGTTGATGGAAAGGAGTCCATATAGTTGAACCGACTAGTGGGTGGTGGAAGTATACCCGACCTAGGCTAGAGTACATCTAGCTACGGGATTGGAGTGACTTGGACTATTATGATGTGATGGATATTCATTCTATTAGAGATGCTTGAAGAGAGGAAGGTTGCTTCTTTGTGAAGGCGCTTATGTTTGAGGGTGGTTGGACCCTAGCTTGTGACAAGCATGAGTGAATGATTTCAACACATGCTTGGAGCAAAATGGGTGCTCCGGATTTCGAACATGGTAATCTGGGCAACTCCTTCGCGACGTATCCGGAGGTCCGTAGCGCGAAGCAACACAACGTCTATTGATGTAAACGTTCTGCCACCGAGGTGGGCTCAATGAAATGACCAGTTCCCTTGAAGCACCGAGGCGCGCCCAACCCGCGCTCCTGTAAGATCATCCGATTAGACCAACACCCTGGTAAATCTCAGAAATCCCTTCATTTCAGTATTTAAAGACGGACATTCTGCCCGAAAGTGTTTGTGGGTTCACTTGAATCCCAACCGTCGATATGTTTAATAGTTTCGTCTGCGCTCCGCTCACGTTCCAAGTCGAAGAACTCCATAAGAGTGGTAAAATGCTCCTACAACCTTCCAAGGCGTGCACGAGTGCACTGCCAGCTCACTCTGCTTTTTGGTCGGTCCCGCTGCCACCAAATCCGAGTCCAACTTGAGCTCCCGGAATTCCCCTAGGTACTCGGCGATTGATGTCCCCTTTGTCAACTTGAGACCCGTCATCTTCCTCCTAAGCTGAATCATGCGCGCATTGCTCCTTTTCTCAAAGTTGTCCTCCAACTTCCTTTTTCGCAGTGGATCACGGGACAGCTACGGCGCGACGCGCGGGTTTAAGTAATTTCGAGGTACTACCTCGATCGCCGGTCGGTGCAACCTGTAATTTACCGATTTACCGACCTCCTTCGACCGTCGAAAATTCGGTTTTTCCTCGGTCGGATCGAGGTTAAAAATTCACTCGGTCGGACTCGCCGCTAATGTGAAGTACTAGGTCCGACTGCTGTACGGTACATGACGTTGAGCTCTCGACCAAGTACCGAGGGTACGGTACCTAACCGACTGCTTAGGGTCCCAACCGGCTGTACTGATACCGTCCGATTCAACACCAATAATGATTGGTAGCTACCATCGACGGTGCGCGATGGTGAGTGTCAAAGGTGGTGGGCTGGAAAGGCCCCATTTCTAGGCTGGTTGAAACCACCTCACGGATTTCGGTAAATTGGTCTAGGTGCACCTCAAATTAACGGGGCCTTCGGTCTTTGACGAAGAAGGGAGCTTGCGATTCCTTGCTAATATGGCGTTTTACACCAAGCATGAGGCCACCATGGCCATGGTTTCTCATACCTTTCTAGCAGACATATGGGGACTAGAACAATAAAAGTAAATGTTGGAACTTCACTGGGAGGCTTTGCATGCACTACCACTAGACCAAAGGACAACTTTGCCTCCTCTTGTATACACATGCTATGGAGTTGTATACTTGGCTCAATTTAAGGGGCAAATTCCTTTCTTTCCAAAGAAATTCCAAGGTTTTGCAAATAATACCTCCGGTATTCGCCGGTACGACCGTCGCCGCACCTCCGATGTACTCCAAATTTACCTCGGGAAACCGTAGACCGACGGACGATTAACCTCCGCAAAATTGGTCCGACCGAGGTAAACCGTAGAAAATTTCCGGTCGGACCGAGGTCCGCGAGTCACGCCGTAGCGGTCCCGTGGTTCACCCTCAATCAACTTCACATAAGCATCGTGAGGATCAGCATCACAGCCCCCTTGCTTGGCTTGACACTTTCCTTCTTTCCACGGACTCCAGCTCGTCTAGTGCACACAGCCATCTCTGTATGCAAGAAGCCCACGGAACTTGGCCTTTCACGTTGACCAATTTTCACCACATAATTGCGGGATCGACACTTTGTCACCCGCCATCTCAACTACACTCTCTCTAAAACACAAAGAGGCCAAATTCTCCATTCCTTTTCTTCACAGACGCGATCGCATTCATGATTCTGGCCCCTAGACAGCCAAAATTGAACCTGTGCGCCCCTTCACAACCAAGCTTTGTGGGCCCATAACCCGTTGAAACTCATGGTAGGGACTCGGCGGTGTAGTTGAGTTACTCGTCATCGGGTCTCAGCTTATCGTATTGCCCGGCACTCATGCACATAGGCTCATTGATGGCAACCGTGCATTCTGAGAGGAACACACGAAGCGCCGCACAGGCGGCTTCCTTCTCCACAAACTCCTCTTAGAATGATGTATCACAATAGCGTTTCTCTTCACTATAGCACGGTGCGTGACAATCGGCGTAATGGATTGGCATGCTTTCAAGACCAAAATGGCACGTGCCAGAATGGTCCCGGACTAGTACAATTCTCGGCACGAGCAATTCTAGTACCACTCTGGCACCATTCTTGCATGCCGGTGTGGTAGCATAATGCTACGGAAGTCTCACGTGCAACCTTAGTACGATTCTCGTTCTATAGTCCGATGTCATAAAAGTACGTGAGGTTCTGTAACTAAAAACGGCGCCATTTTGCATGTACCCGTGGTTTGAGATGCGTAACAGACCTTCGGGCTCCCATATCATCCAAGTTAGTACTGGATTAGATGTGTTGGGACCCCCTTAGGGCTTCGATCGAAAGTTTGCTTGCAAGCTGTTATCCAGCTTGTCGGATCGGTGCCATGCAATATCCAATGATTAAATGATTACTCAGATCATAATTTTTGCAAGGAAATTCCTCAGCACCATGTGAAGGAATACCTCGGAATGATGAAAGGCATGGTGCGCGGGTGGACTAGCTATATTTGCAAATTGGGCATCCAATCGTCTGGGCGCAACGTACAGAGCAACCGTCTCACTGTCCTTCCCGCCCGGAGGCTTGTTGGTTGATTGGACTTGCAACTAGTATCAAATTGAAGCGCACGCCGCAGCGCATGGGCTGCTTTTTGTAGCTCGGAACACTGTGATGCCAACCATATGGTACACGGCCCCCAAGCAAGCTACTAGGTGAAGCGTGCATGCAGTCATGCATGGCAATGTCACCATTTTGTACACTTGCGCCATCAAGTTCAGTGATTGGCAGCGGACTCGGAGTCACCATGATGCAAACGCTTTCGCAAGTTTCATTATAGTGTAAAGCTTTTTGTTTATGCGTATGAACCCTACAGCGGGTAATCCAACGAGCAGCTTCGCATTGCATGGCTTGCCAAATTCACACAGACAGTTGATGGTCAACTGTCCCGACTCCCAAGGCATACTTGGTATTGAAACAAAACAAATCGAAAGTTGTTGAAACATTTTTGCTCGGCATCTCTGCCGAGAATTTGAGTGCGGATTCTTGTTCAGTGATACTCGAAGGAAGACTTTGGTGATGCTGATAGACAGCACAATGCAAATATCTCGTCCCTTCTTCATGTATAGCTGTCTTCTCAGCATGTTATATCCCCGCAACCCGCTATCATTTATTTTCATTGATTCGTTCCCTCGGTTGTTGATTGGTATGGCCCTGCCCCAATACATGACTCTTCCCTCTCTGGATAAATTTACACCTTGAGAAGCTTGTGCGCGCACGACAAGCACCCAGTCCTTGATTACTCAGACTTTTTCTGCTTTACACTATTTCGGACTTAGACGATTTGCGCAACTCGATCAGGCGGCGAGAGCCTTGCCCGCCTGCCGGAGGGCATTGGCCCGGACTAGGCTTCCGATGGTGTTGATTGCCAACTTGATATCATCGAGGGGGTTTCCGGGGACGACCGTCTTGTACAGGTAGCTGTCGAAGGTCATCTTTTGGACGTACGTGTCGGCGCACATCTCTACAAAGGCCTCCCTAGCTGGGTTCGACCTGTCGGGAAGAAAAGAGGGAGGTACTTGAGCTGGCAAGCTTTGAAACTCAGAAGTATCAAACCCTGTTTCGGTTAAAGCTTGTTATCAGGCTGGATCACCATGGCCTTGGGCACCAATGGCGAAGCCTGCCTTGGACGGTTTGCACATGTGCCCAGATTTCAAAGGGTTGCCTCAAGTTCAGGCTCTTATTGTACGTCGACCAAGCACTGAACCTAAATAGCCTGGCTAAGGGACACAAACGTTGTTCTACTATGTGCTTGCTGACCACATCAAGGCCCATGTCCTGATGAATCGAGCTGCTGCAAGTGTTACAGACCGGTCTCACGTCGCAACGCATACAAGTTATTGAGGAAAAGCAGCCAACAAAAAGGTCGCTGGATCGCATATATTCTGCACAGAGCTGCTCACTCTTTCCAGGGGCCAGTGATTATCCCAAGCTTAAAGACGACCAACCCCTTTGGAGCTGACAAACCTATGAGGACGTCATGGCCGACCTTCTGCCAACAAAGCCCCCGCACTTCTGACAACGCTCAAGCCGTTTCTTCTGTCAAGTAACTCGAAAAGCCACCTCAAGCACAAAAAAAAAAGACAGTTCAGATTGTCCCTGCCTGCATTCAGGAACTCCAACCAAAGAACCATGCCCAGAGCAATGTGGCCTTCTAAGCAGCGCCGGGCGTTCTCACCTGTAGAAGACCTTCTGCAAGATGTCGAGGACCTTGTAGGTGGCCCAGTACTGCTTGTCCCACTTCTCCAGGTACACCCGCAGGTCGCCCTCCGTCACCATCTTGGCGCCATTCTCGGAGGCCGCCACAATCGCCTCCGCGCACATCCTTCCGGACTTGGCAGCAAAGTAGATGCCCTCACCTGAGCACTTCGTGACATAACCTGGAGGAAAATGGACACATCACTGACGGTCCCACCTAATACAATACTGCAAACATATTGGTCTCGTCATCCCTTCTGATGTGGTCAGATGACCTCACGGCAAATCCGAGTCTGTGTTTTGAGAAGCATCAAGGGTGACAAGGGTGACTCGTTGCTGGTCCCATGAAGTCCACAAGTCTTATATGTCCGCTCCTTTCCCCTCAGAGCTCACAATCAACACCTTCACCGCTGATCTATGTTTCACATGGCTCATGCAGCACGACCGTTGGTGGCGTTCCCTGAGAGCGAGGCTGACATAGGTGCCCCATGCTTCTGAGCCCATCATCAGACCTCCACAGCTGGACAAGGCCCCAAATTCCCTTGACTACATACCTGGAGCAACTTGCAAGGTTCCGATTCTTAAGTGCACATTTCCAACCCCATCCTGTTGACAACGGATCAGGCCCAGCCAAGTGCGCTTCTAGATGAAGTCTTCCATTCCAGAAGCATTCCCTCTTCTCATGCTGGACATTACAGCAGCACCACCTTCGCAGGTCCTGCGTGCAACTCAGAAGCAGCCCTTCTTTGCGGATTGTTGAGAAACGGAAGAGCAAGGATAGCCACCTACCTGCAGCATCTCCCACCAGCGCAACACGGCCCTGAGCACGTCTCGGCCTAGGGTGCTCAGGAATGGGGTGGGCCTCAACTCGCAGAATCTTTCCTCCTGCAGGCACAGTAACATGGATGTAAGCGAGCGCGTTGCATGAGTAGTATCACCTTGAATCCAACTTCGGACTTTCTGCCCTCTCCAGGGCCTTCTTGTGGATTTGAGTGCTCATAAACTTGAGCCGCCCCAGAAGGAACAAAGTAGCCTGCATCAGGCTGCGAAGACCTTAGCTTACTTAGCAGTGAATACATCATTTGGGTTCCCAGGCGGAGTGGTCAACGGCAAGTGCTGAAGCTGAGGACGAGAACAGACAAAGGATCACCAAATGTTGTCTTGATTGACAAAGGCTTGCTAAGGAGAAAGGCCCTAGGTAGGAGGTTCAGCAGTCCCGCAAAACAGCGCGCTCAGATCGAGCAATGAGCTTTTGGATTCAACCTCTGAATACCTCGCTGGAATTTTATTTGGAAAAGAAACCAGGTGCTGGCAGATTGCATGACAGGTGGCAGGCCCACACGTTGTGATATATTCAAGCGCCTGAAAACAGCCGAGCTTTAGGACGCTCATCAAACCATGCAGTTTGACTCTTGACACTCCTTGCAACAAACCGTAGCGGCCACACCCTCACCTGCAATCTTGTCCTTGGCTCTGTTCCTAATGGCAGTCTGGTACTTCTTGATGGCGGGCTTGTTGATGACGGTGCCTGTGCCCACGGCCACGTGGTCGCACTTTGGGAACACCCAGCCGTAGAAGTCGGGGGACACGTCATCACCAACGTACATCTCAGCCAGATTCTCGTAGTAGACCATCTTGTCCTCGGGGATCTTGATCCTCTCCTGCAAGCACAGACATGATGAAATCAGCAAACTCTTGTTTGACAAATGGATTCTTCGCAGAAAGAAAATGCGGCGAAATTGCCATGACTGTCTTAATGATGAGTTAGTCGATCAGATTGAAGGTGCGCTGTGAATTGTCAGAAATACAGGGAGAAAAGTTCACACCAAGATAGACAATTCAAGGGAGCGGTTCCTCTTCTCACCTATCTTCCCAAGAACAAAATCCCGCTTATTGCAACAGAGAACTGCATGCTCTTCCCTTTTTCAGCATTGCCATAAGAAACTTTTGAATAGAAAGTGCAATACGTGGGTCTGCCCATGCTGTGGCAAAAAAGGATCTTTACTTCAGGGATTCCACCACAAGTCAGAAGACCCTCAACCCCCAAAACTCCGGATACTGCTAAGCACTTTGACCCAAAATATTACTTCTACGACAGGAAATAGTAAACCCTAGATAAGCATTCTTATCAATCACTCACCCCATTTTGCTATCCATGGTCTGCCGGAATGTTACAATAGGCTGCGCTTCAAGCCTCATTACTATAGGAGGGTCAATATCATCGGCAAGCTTCCTTCTCAACTATCGGAAAGAAACCAAATCAACAAACCCGCACGGCCACCCTCGTTTGCAACTTCATTTTTGGTATGACAATCGTAAGCTTACAGAGCGAAAACAGGAAGGGCATCACACTGACATGCAACAAGTAGAGGGTCCACCAAAAGGGCACAAAGAGGGCATCACCAAAATTTGCATATTGATTGTTGACGGCAAGGTTTTGAAAGAATTGATAACATCAGAACTGAGGTTACTCAGAGTTGCAGAAGCTAGAGTTGTAAAAGCTAGAGAGCCAGGAGTAGAAGCTAGAGAGCCAGGCCCAACACCAGAGGGGTAAGTTGCTCACCTGGAAAGCGATGGCGTAATCATACTCCCCTGCGTCAATCGCCTTGGCAACCCTACTGTTGGCACCGTCAGCGCCTACCACCACATCGACCTCCACAGTGCTGGCCTTTCCAATCTTGGAGTCCTGGAGAAAGACAGCTCTACTTGTCAATGCTGAACCAAACCAAGGAGTCTGCAAAGCGATATCTGCAACCAAGTGTCGGAGTTTCAGAACTAAACACATACAGAGCTGAGGGAACCCGGCGAAAAGAATTGATCAGGGTCAGGTCCAAACTTTGGAAATCCTGAAAAAGCAGGGACCTGACCCAGGACCACAGGAAGTTCTCTTTTAAGTCTTGCCCATGTTGTAATGCTGCTACTCACAGCCACAATCTCATCCACAGTGCTTGCTCAGCTCCGTGGTCGGAGCTGCATCCTTGGGTTTCCCGCTTAAGTCTGGAAAAACAGGACCTTTGCCATCCAAGAACAATAATCCAGTTCCAAACGTCCAAGAAAATTTGGAGCGGTAGTGACTGAGAAGATACCCTTGCTGGCCCAAGCAGTCATGGACCGTCTGCACAAGCGAGAAACCTACCTCTGCATAATCTGTGTAGTGGAGGACATAGGGACTCTCGTCGTCCTTAGGAACATCTATCCTGAGCACCAGCCCGTTGATGACATTTGCGCCGTTCGCCTTGGCGCGGTCCCGCAGGAAACCGTCCAACACCTCACGCCTGCACATTGAAAGGATAGACCTTTTCGTAAAGGTGGTGCCGAGACAGCTTTCGCTTCTTCAAAAGGAAACAGATTTCCATTTCGTTGGTAATGCTGACCGGCGTATTTCAGCGGTGGCACAAGGCCTTGGCACTTCAAACGTCCATTCCGGACCTCCGTTCTTAAGTTGGTGACCAACGTGTCCCTACTGGGCGATCGAATACAACATAGTTTCAAACTTGGAGAGTCAGAAGCAATGCTGCGCCTTCCCTATCTTCTCCGTCTATGTGGAGGACTCCAATGCGTTAACGCCCTGCCCTCAATCACCAGTTTCAATCATGAGGACCGATGAGTAGCTAGGCAGGATAGAGCCGATTAGAGGAGCAGCCCGGCGCGCATCCTCCAAGCGACAGGGGAGGCACAGCAGCTTTATTATACAGATACATTCGGCATACATAAGTGAAATGTCCAAGCTGATTCCTGCTGAGGAAGGATTAGCAAACCGGACCGTTTCCAATCCTAGAAGTGCAGATAGCTGTGCTGCGTAATCAGTTGCTTCTCCATTCTGCCAAGACCTTCGCCAGAGGTGAAGAGATAATTGCACAAAGGGAATACCAACTGAGCCTTACCTGCACATGCCAATGTACTCCTCCTTGCCAAGCGTCCTGCCGACGTCGACCTCCACATTGGAGGGCGAAATCATTTTCATCTTGGTCACGCGCCTGTCAATGATCTCTGGGGGCAGCTGAAACTCGTCCACCATGCACAGCGGGATAGCGCCACCGCAGGGCTTGGCATTGTCAAGCTTCCGCTCAAACAGGAACGTTTCGATGCCCCCGCTAGCCAAAGTATCAGCAGTGCACCCTCCGGCAGGCCCACCACCAACAACCGCCACCCTCAATTTCCTGTTTGCAAGCTGCTTGCTCTGGAATGCAGCATGGACTGTGAGACCAGGGGCGTTGCTTTGAGCCTGGGGGGAGGGTCTCGCCTCTGCCTGGGGATCGAAGCTGGTGGAACCAGTCAAAAAGCTAGAGCTGGCCGGGACGCCAGACGCCTTGAACCCCTCGGATGATGTTGCCTTGTTTTTCAATGGCTGTACGGAAGGTCCTCGAGCCGCCAAGCTGCGAGGCGTGCACGCAACGCTCCTCTCTGCACTGCTTGAGGAGGCATTCTTGAGAGCAGAGCTGAAGGCCAGGGCAGCAGACTGCTTCACGCAGAGGGAGGAAGCCATGGTGAGGATTGGCACAAGGGAAGGCGCTCTCGCAAGAAGAGAATGTGGAGTCTCCGAGGAAGAAATATCAGGAGAATTGGAAAGAAACCCTGATCAATTCTTTCAAAAGAATCCCCCCCAGCCAATCAGAGCAGCCGGGTATCAACCGCCTCTCAAAGGCAGTACGTACCGAGAGCCGGCTCTGCTGGGCACAAATCCAACGTGTGCAAAGCGTGCACATCCATTGGCTGCGCTGGATTTGCCTGTCTTTTAGGGCTATCTGATTCGCTCAGTTTCTCCTATGATGACACCTTCCGGGAGATCGACGAGTTCACCTCAGAGCGTCGACGTCTACTAGGACCTAGGTTCTACTAGAGCGTGCGCGCTAGAACTTCTAGCGCGCACGCGCCAACTTGAAACGCCAACTTTCTTGAAGGCGCCAAGGCACGCTGGCTTCAAACGTACTGGGGGCGGGGCACGGCCGATGAAAGGACCCCCCGCAGCAGAAACAATTGAATTGCTTTAGCTAGGTAATATCGACGGACCGAGTTTGTCGGGAAGCCTGTGACCCTGTCCATGGCACTGCTTGAACGGAACAGCCAGCGACTCGCTTATCCTACGGCCTCCGCTCGTCCACGAAAGAGGCGACCGCGGACACAAAGGGGATATGGGGATATGCACACCTGGGAGGGGGGTTTCTGGGCAAAAACGGGGTTTTGCTGACGTTTGTCGGAGACCCGAGACCGGCGAGCTCGGGAGCAACCCGGAGACCCTCTGCACACCGGGTTGCGGGATGTTGGCATTTTGGATGTTTGCTTTCTGTGTCATTCAGTGAACTCTTTGAACACTATGTCGTCCATTCAAATCAAACCCATCATGCGGCTGCCATGCCCAACATGGCCAACTGTCGGCCATAACAAGAACCAGCTCGGAGCTGCATCATGTGCAGCACAGCTCTCAACAACCTAAACCCGTTTCATTAGATTTCATAGAGCCGCTGAGGAAGTCGGCAGCCATGCCAGCGAGCTGCCGCCGAGCAGCTATATGCTCATCTCAGTCTGCTCAGCTCAGAAGCGGTCACTGATGTAAGCCCGATAGTTCATCGACGGTGCTTACTGTAAAGGTAGATAATGTTCAATTGACTACCCATTAGATATTTTCACGCTCGATGATCATAGGGTTAGATCGGACAGTGGCGGGGTGACTGAAGCAGAAGTTGCAACTTTTCGTAGCTCTATGATATGGCTATAAATGATGGCGAAAAGGGACTTGGACGACCTCGGCCCATCATAGGGATATGCGGCCCAATTTCGGGCAGGACGAACTGTAGCAGAAAATTCGCCGGTTAGGCAGGTCTTCACTAAACCGTTGATTTTTGCAGCTTTTGGGGGTTTTGTCGAAGGAGACCCCATTCGCTTTAAGAGAGCCAAGAATCCCCGAATGGCAGTGGTTCGACTGAGGGGTCGAGACACTCGAGACCCGCATCCGAGGATTCCCTTGGATCTATTCTGGCAAAGCTTTCAAATGCAAAAACCTCGTGACTCGATTAATTTGGTGGGAGTTCGGTTGAGGCCAATAGGGCCTTTCCGATGTCCCAAAACGTGTCCAAGAAGTTTCTGCAGGTGGTTGAATCATGAATGCCATAGGCACATACCTTAACTTTCGACAAAATGTTGGGATTCGGGAATGTCCCGACTCCTACAGGCTAGAGCACTTTCCATGGCCCCTCAGGCCCCGTGTAACAGAACGGTAGCCCAGTGGGCAACGGCCGCAAAAACGCGCGCAACGATACTTTTTCTGCC